GTGGAGAGAAATCAGAACCCGTGGCGTTGCCTTTTCCGCACAATGCGTCCCTGTTGTTTTTATTGCCCTGCTTAAAGAAATAATCCATTCCTATTATTCTTGGGCAGGCTTTCTGAAGTTCAACCTCAAACCCAGATCAAGTTCACTACTTGTCTTTGATGCCTCCGGTTGCTCCCTGGTTGAAATCTTCTTTGCTATTCCAGTGTTGTTGTTTTCTTATAAATTGTTTAGGCTTTGGTATGGATAAGAAATGGCATAAAGCTGGGGGACTGTCTCAGCTTTCAAAATGTTGTAAAATTCAACTTTGAAAAGGAAACTTTGGAGATGTTAGTAATCATGCCAGTAAAGTAGTAAAGTTCCCCATTTGTTACATTGCTTTTGAAATGGGGCTTTGTTGCAAGTTTGTTGCAGCAGAAAAGTAACTTGGTGCAAGTAACAATATTCCACTTGCAACATACAATAACCTCCAAAATCCACAAAATGATACCTTTAATCAGGGGTAGGTAACCTTTTTGAGCTGGGGGCCGGGTTGCAAAGGTGGCAAAGGTGACAGGAGCAACTCAGGCTTGTTACCCTGGAAAAAGACAACACCAGTTTTCCTTGGCCATTTGGTCAGCAATGCCACCTGATACAGGATTTGTTGTTGTTGTGTACTTTCAAGTCATTTCTGACTTATGGCAATCCTAAGGCCTATCATGGCAGTATTTGTTCAGAGAAGGCTTGCCATTGCCTTCCCTCAAGGCTGAGAGAGTGTGACTTGCCCAAAATCACCCAGTGGGTTTCATGGCCAAGCTGGGCATCAAACCTTGGTCTCCAGAGTCTTGATCCTACACTCAAACTCCTTCAAGTATTTCCAACTTATGACAACCCTCTCCCAGGGTTTTCTCGGCAAGATTTGTTCAGAGGAGGTTTGGCAGTGCCTTCCTCTGAGGCTGAGAGAGTGTGACTTGCCCAAGATCACCCAGTGGTTTCCATGGCCAAGCCAAGAGTCGAACCCAGGTCTCCAGAGCTGTAGTCCAACACTCACATTAATAGGCCACCCTTTGTATTCCTTTGATACAAGATACCCTTTATCTTATTTTATTTTATTTTATTTTTGCAGATGGAAAAACCGCTGGCAGTACCTGAACCATCACTACCTGGGCAAGAGACCCCAGCAAAGGAGCCGCTTCCTGGGGTCGAACTTCTGAACTCTTCCCCAAGGGCCATGCCCTCAAAGCCTCCGGTAGTAGAGAAAGCTCCTCTGCCTCCAGCCCCAAAGCCTTGGGAAATGGGGACAGATGGAGCCAAGGAAGGAAATCCCTTGTGGCAAAGGATGCTGAGAAGAAGCCCCTGATAGCATTCACTTCCACCCTCTGCTTAGAAAATACAAATGGCCTTCCTCTCCTTTCCTCTCCGAGTGTGTCTTTTAATCTCTTTGTATATCCTCAATACCCTAAAGGCACCAGATCACCTCCGATCTTGGAAGCTAAGCAGGGCCAGCCCTGGTTAGTCTGTGGATGGGAGACCGCCAATGAAGACCAGGGGCTGTAAGGTCTATTTCAGAGGAAGGAACTAACAAAAAACCCCTCTGAGGATCCCTTGCCCAAGGAAAGCCTATGGAATGCATGACACACAGACACAGACAACTAATAGGTTTTTTGTGGGTTTTTTCGGGCTGTGTGGCCATGTTCCCGAAAAAACCCACAAAAAAAACCTATGGATGCTGGCCATGAAAGCCTACGACTTCACAGACAACTAAATTTCCTAAAGGCTCCAGATCCTGCCTGATCTTGAAAGCTAAGCAGGCTTGGCCATGAAAACCCCCTGGGTGACCTTGGGCAAGTCACACTCTCTCAGCCTCAGGGAAAGGCAATGGCAAACCTCTTCTGAACAAATCTTACCAAGAAAACCCTGTGATAGCCTTGCCATTTGAAAGGCACACAGCAACAACAAAAGTTTGCATGTGTGTAGATATGGTTCACAAATGTACACTGAATCCTAATTGTTAGTCCCAAATAGAGTAGACCCAATTGATTTGATGGCTCTACTCTACTCAGCAGTGCTCTTTTGTGGCCCATGAAATACGGTAGATGTTTGGTTGGGTTAAACCAGGATAAATATACTGTAGTTGCATAAATCAGTATATTGACACATGTCGAAAGTGGGAACAGCTGGAGTATGTCGAATTTCTGTTATTGCTGGTATTTCCGCCACAGATCAGCCTCACTTCCTAGCAAAAATAGGTGCACATTGCATGAATTTATGTTTTTTAAAACCACAAGTGGCCCCACACTTTTCTCACATGCCGTCTTCATGCAAATGTTTCGTAAGCCACGCTTCCACCTGACTCCGAGGGTTTCCTGAGGCTCTTTGCGCAATTTGGGGGACCCTGGCTTTGTGCAAAAGGGGAACGCCAGCGTCTTGGTGACATCACTGACCCTCTTTGGGGACGTACCGGTAATGGAAAAAGGCCGACACCACAGGAAGCCTTGCGGAGGAGTCTCCCCACCGCAGGAAGTCAGGCGACTGCCATGTTGTCATTATACAGTGACAATAACTGTACTGTATTTGCTAATCTGCAAAAGTCATGAGTCTGCCAGGGCCAAGCAGAGGAACAACCTCTACCTGTTGAATTTGGAGAAAGTTCAAGGGGGGGGGTCCACTCCAACCAGCTTGACCTAAACCCTATTTTTAGAGTCCGTCCACACTGCAGAAATAATCTGGTTTGACACTGTTTTAACTGCCATAGCTCAATGCTATGGACTTCTGGAAATGGTAGTTTGTTGTGGCACCAGCGTTTTGTATGTTTGAATACATACCTAACTACCTTCCCTTTCTAATC